CGTGGTAATTCTACGCGTAGTAATCCAACGCGTGGTAATTCTACGCGTAGGAATCTAACGCGTGGTAATCTAACGCGTAGTTAATCAACGCGTAGTAATCCAACGCGTAATAATCCAGCGCATGGTAATCTAACGCGGACCAATCAGAGCGCGAGGATTACGCTCGCTCAGCCGCTAGGCTCGAAGCTGTCGCTCTCGCGCCTGCGCGTAATCTCGCGCTCTGATTGGTCCGCGTTTTTCCTTAATAATTCAAAAACGAAGCTTCAAACCCCATTTTTGCAGAGGGCGTAATCTCGCGCTCTGATTGGTCCGCATTTTTCCTTAATAATTCAGAAACGAAGCTTCGCACCCCATTTTTGTAAAGGGAAATCTTATTCAGAATCGCGTCAGCTATCATTTCAGGGACACTGGTTGTGGGACACTCTGTATATTGCTAAACAAAAACATTGATGAGGGGAAAGGAACAATTCCAGAAGCAGCATTTAGATTAAAAACCGATGTAAGTAATATATTTTCATATTTACAAGGATTTTAGTTGTAAGTTGAATAAGTCGAATAGTTGAGTATATGGATGTATGTATACGTATATTATGTGTTGCACTTGTAAAAATATAAAGTACGTTTTTTCAAAACGTATTTATTCCATCGACGTGGAGGACACCTTCGGACGAATAAAACGATAAAAGGATAATATACAAAATACAATATAAATCGTTTCGACGACGAAGACTTTTTCAAAAAATAACGCAAATGAAAAGCATAATTTCCGATCGACGCAACGAGTACATTTTGAAAGAACGGTATGCTTTCATTGAAAGCGATTAATTTCCATGAACTTCGTTTCGATTCCTTTTCGTTTTATTCCCGTCGTTCTTCCGATCCTTTCGAAACGAAGCTTCCGTAGCAAAAGTTTCGTATAATCGAGCAAAAAATTCGAATTCGCGACAAGACTTTAGCGGACATGCTCTTTGTCAAGCGGAAAAAACTCGTTTTATATTCGCGGCTCTCGAGAAGGCACGTAGTGAAAAATCGTGGACATAGGACAATATAAAAATCTCGATAAGGATGAAATATCGCGTTAATTGCTTCAATTATCGCGTACGTTCCATCCCTCTTAGCGCGTGACTCGGCACACCCGGGGGTAAAGCAGCTGGTTCGCCTCTCGCTTCCGGGTCGTTTATGGCTGCTTCGGACGCCTTGAATCTCTTGTATTTCCCTGCAAAATACATTGATTACACTTATTTTTTACTTCTAAATTTATTCTTATTATTTACTTCTCAATAACTAAATTCAATCATTACAATTTAAGGATAAATTTAAGGATAAGGTTCTTAAATAAACTCTGTCGAAAGTTTCTTTTGATTAGTTTCTTCAACTTTTAAGAATTAATCTTCCTAACAAATTTCAACGATTAACAGTGATTCAAAAATATTAGCAAACTTCATGTTTTTTTGATAAGTGATTACTTACTGGCTAAACGGACCAGAGTGACGCCCCACCAAATACTCCAGCCCCACCCAACCAGGCAGAATAAAACGGTGAATAATTGACCCACCCCGACCATCAGATTTACCACGAATGCCCCAAGTCTCGATTTCACCCCAGCCACCGATGAGAATCTTGGCTGACCTGTGCATAAGTTGAAAATTCCGCTCCAAACGGTACCTGAAAATCATCACACGATGAATTAAGAGAAATTTATTAAATTAGCTTCTATTGTTAAGTTAAAGTTCACTCGTTGAAAACAGAGTTATTAAATCAAGGTAAATTCAATTGTTAAGTTAAAGCTATTTCAATTATTAAATTTTAAAGCAAATTCAAGGATGAAAGTTCAAAACAAATTCGAGGATGAAATTTTACAGCAAATTCAATAATGAAATTTTAAGGCAAATTCAATTATTAAGTGAAGAAGTACAGTTATTAAATTGAAGCAACTTCTGCTAGATAGTTGTAATTAATTTTCAACTAAATTGATTTATAGAAAATAATAGCAAAACTACTTTACAAAAACTTCAAGAAGGTTTATTTTAACGAGAAAATGATTAAATTAAAGTACGATTTACCGGAACCAGGCAGTAGAACGTTCCAAACGAGACAAAACCAGGCGAGAGGAACAGGTAGACATGGAATGGCGCCACGCATTAGAGAATTGTGCTCCACCAGTACATCCGGTATCTTAGCTTTTGGTTCCTGTTATTTAATGAAAAAGAGTTAATAAAAATATATAAAAATCAAACTAAAGTGTTTATTTGTACCCTTCTTTCCTTTAATACCTTTAGTCATAAATATAAATATTCATTTGTCTCCTAATAAAGTTCAGTTACAAATCACAATGTTTAATTACAAATGTTTCATCTTCAACAAGTTGAAGAACATCTTCAAATGTTTCATATTCCATCCATAAAAATTTCGATTTTGTGCTTTCTTCATCCCCAAGGGTATAAATTATAAACGGTGAAGATGTTAAAACAGGGTGTCTCAAAACTAGTGTAGGTCCCTCAAATGGGGGGTAGCTGACAGCTTCGTATAATGCGTAGTAATCCAACGCGTAGTAACCCAGCGTGCGGATATCCAACGTGTAGTAATCCAGCGCGTGGATATTCAACGCGTAGTAATCCAACGCGCAGTAATGCAACGCGTGGTAATTCTACGCGTAGGAATCTAACGCGTGGTAATCTAACGCGTAGT